CCCTCTTGGAGGAGCAATTAGAAAAAGGCGTTCCCCTTTAGCCTGAAAAATTATAAAAAGTTGACCCCTCTGGACGGACCCACCAGAAACAGGCATCCCTTGCTCCAGGCTGACCCAGCCCTAAGCACGGGCTGGATTTCAGTGCCACTGCCGTCTTCTCGGCCAGGCCCCTTTGCAGTCCCCAGGATGTGGGCAGCCCCAGAGGTGGCTCTGACAGCCACCACAGCCCTGGAGGGGCCAACCCTACGTGGGACCACATGGCCCCACTCTCCTCGCCACCACGGATTCCTCTAGAGCTAGCGACTGACCCAAGCAAGAAAGGTCCCCCTAACAGCCCAGCCAGTCAGGGTATCTTTCTCAGGAACAGAACTAAGAACCACAGAGAAAAGTTGGCAGGGGTGCGGGGAGAGATGGACACGAGGCCACTGTTCCAGAACCTCAACTCCCCTTCTCTATTTGGTGAAGCCCAGGAGCGCGCCTCCCTCCACGATGCCACGAAATTCTTCCCTTTCCTGGCAGGAGGTGTCCTCCGCCTCCACATGCCAGTTTTTCCTGAGCTGGTGTGAATGGTATCGGTCCCACTAGGATGTGGAAGGCAGTGTCTTCTGGACAAGGTGTTTAATGAGTCATAGGCTCGTCCTCTCCCACCTGGGCTGGCTCCAAACCCTCCCACTCGTTCTGGCTGCTTCCCTCTGTCCGTGCCAGCCAGACTACCTGGTGCACCAGGTAAGTGGGCTGAGCAACATGTCAAGGGCGGGAACAAGGAGGAAGCAGGGGCCATCCATCTGTTTAGGGCTGGCCAGGCAGCGCCGACTCCTCAAATAAACAGGGAGCGTGGGCTCCCCCGGCAGGAGCCCAGCCAAAAAACCGAAAGTGAAGTAAGGGGTGGAGCACAGGCAGCCTGAATTCTGAAAACTTAAACAAGATGGCCAATGGAAGCCTTCCCCAGTTCCACCTGAGAAAGCTCCATGTGGATTTGGGTGACTCAGTCACATTCTGGGCTTGGCAAAAGATTTCACTTGAACGAAGAGCTTTGCTGCTTTTTTAAAAAGTGTGAAATCCACCGACTTACAGGCTCAGGCCCAAGCTCCTAAGCAAGGAAGGCCCTCACCACCACCCCCCACCTCACTCTCCACCACGCAGAGCCCAAGCTGGCACTTGACGCTCCATTGTCAGAGCTCTACCCTGCAAAAAGCAAGCAACGTTTCCCCTCCCAATCTTCCTTCGCTCACGTCTGCCCCTCCACCAGCCTGGCTGGGTCAGGTGGGAGCCCACCTCGGGCTCCCTTAATCCCCCACCCCCATCTCTAAGCCTACCTCGGTCGTGGCCATGACTTCAACTCAAGAAAAGCTGTTTGAGGAACTGCCTCCTCCCACAGGCCAAGAGTTGGCTGAGGTCTTGTCCTTTTGCCCCGGAATGCCCTGTGCCCAACTCAGAACGGTACTCCCTGAGAGAGGGCACAACCTAGGCGCTGGACCCCAGGGACCACCCACCCTCCAGGGTGCCCACGCCACCCTGCTGGCCACTCCTGGCTGCACATCTCGGCTGCGGTAGGTGGAGCGAGTGACCCAGGGTAGGCAGCGGCTCCCAGGCCAGCGCCACGGAGTAGTCACTCACTGGCTGATTCACTGCTAACTCGGTAAATATTTACTGAGGGCTCTCCATGAACCAGACAACAAAAGCAGACACGGTCCCTGCCTTCATGGGGTGTTCAGTCTCCTGGGGGAGGTGGATAATAAGCAAGTAAAGGTTTAAAATGTGAGCTGATGATGGAGAAAAATTAGGTGGGGAAAGGGGAGAAGGAACAAGGGTATGGGAGTTGGGGACTGTTTTATAGAGGCTGGTTGGGGAAAGTAGCATTGAGAAGGTGACTTTTCAGCAGAGGGCTCAAGGAAATGAGGGGGTGAGCCATGCAGGTACCTGGGCAAATCGGGTTCCGAGGAGAGGGAAAAAGCAAGAGCAAAATCCTGAGCCAGAGGTTGCCTGGGATGTTCCAAAACATCACGAAAGGAGTGCCCCCGGCGCAGAGCTAGGAAGGGGGAAGGTGGTGGGCAGTGAGGGCAGAGGAGGTGGGAGGCAGATCATCTACTGGCTCCTGTGAGGATTTTGGCTTTTACTCCAAGTGAGATGGGGCGTTCTGAGCAGGGAGTAACACGATCTGACTCGCGTTTGCAACAGCACAGGCTGTTGAGTAGGAACAGACATTAGTGCAGAGAAGGGATCGGGTGGGGGGCAGTTGTGTGATTCAAGCACAAGATGCTGGTGACTGGCGCTAGGGGAACGGAGGTGGCAGAGGTGAGCAGATACTGACTCTTCGCGCTGAAAGATCCCCTAGAATCAATCCTCTCATTTAAACAGGGGAAACTGAGTCCCAGAGAGGGGCCTGATCTACCTGTGATTATATGGTAGATCAGAGCCACAGGTGGTCTGGCATCCAGATGTCCTGATTCCTAAGGTGATATTCTTCTGACTTCTCCTCTTCCGGTAGCAGGACCCAGGCACCTGCCCCTCCCCCACCCCCAACCACAAAAATTCCCTCATCCAGCCATCAGACTCGGGCCTGGCCTCTGCCCTTCCTGCTGTATGTGACAGGGTGGCACTGGGTTCAAGGACTGCCCAGGCCTCCAGCTATGTGAGCCTGGCAGGGGTAAGGATCACCTCTAAGGAGCCTTCTGTCCTCTGAATCAGCAGAACCTTCGCAAAGGGGGGAGGAGAGAGGAAGGGAAGAATCTAAACCAGGGGAAAGAGCTTAGCTCCCAACACTTGGTTGTCAGCACTCCGGGAGAAGAGAGGGCACCAAGAGCTGACGGGGTGGAACAGGAGATTCAGTGGGGGGGCGGGCCCCCTGGGGAGTACAGGCCCCAAGGCTGAGCCCAGCCTGGGAGTGCTCCAGGTCCAAGGCACTGAGCATCCCACCCAGTGGGAGGTTTAGGGGGCATGATGGGGCGGGGGTGTTTCCATGCCTTTGCTACCAGTAAGCAAAGCAGCATGCAAACTCATGGGCCACACCTGGGGCGGCGGGTTACAGCTGCCCTGAGAGCCTTGCTCCCCAGGGGAACCCCAAATCCAGGGCCAGCCAGACTGAATCCAGCAAGACAGACTCAGTGGGCCCTGACAGCTGGGAAAGGCTTGCTGTATGTCCTTGGGCCAGGAGCACAACTTCTCTGAGCCTGTTCCACAGCCAAGGTAGAAAGATGGTTAGGAGGGTCTTACTTAGGCTGGAAGCCAGAAGCACATTCACAGACATCCTTTCAGTTTCCTCTGCTTTTAATGGGAGAGGCTGTCCAGCCCCTAGTTCGCGCTCATTCAGAGTCCTCTGAAAGCCAGGAGCCTGCCTGGTAGCTCTGAGCTATATGTCAGGGTGGGGGCTGCAGAAAGGGAGGCACAGGGGTGTGGACAAGAGCTAGAACCTGGGTCAGTGGGTTCTCTATCCTGACTCTGCCACCGCTTAGCTAAGGAGTTGGGGAAGCCATCTCCGAGTCTGGCTTTACTCCCGAGGAAGGGTCTCTGAGAGCCCTGTTTTTCGCTGATCCATCTGGGACTGGTGATTTCAGCTTCTGGAATGGAAAGTGAGGCCCTAGCAGCTCCATCCAGACAGAAGCTGCCTGTCCTGAAGAACTTCTAGAGTCTGCGGAGAGGATCTTTTACATTTCATTTGCATGATGCTCATTTGCATAGAAAGTCAACCTCCAAAACTCCCCCGATAATTGAATAATAATAGCAAGGAGGAGTCAGGGTAGACCAAAGCAAAACTTTCAATAGCTCATTAACCACAGAAAGGGTGCTGGCGGTCAGGGAAGGGACATATTGCATCTCTGGCCCTGACTCCCCCTCTTCTGCTAGCAGAGGATGACAAAACCCTACAAGTATCAGAGCCAAAGGAACAGGGCTTGAATTCCGCTCAGACCCTGACCTCTGCCAGGCTCAAGAACTCAGCCTTGTCTGTATGACCTTGAGAAGTAAGCTGTCCCTCTCCGGGACTCAGTTTCTTCGTCTCTCGAATGGGGCCAGGGATCCCTGATCTGAGTCTGGAGTCTGGGGGCGGAACCAGCGCTGAGGGGTTGCAGAAAGGCTTGGGTTCACTTAGGGACACAGAGGAGGCTGACTCCGGGCGGGCCTCCTCGGGAGAGGGAGGGGCTCTAGGGAGGAGAGCTCCTGAGGGACTCCTCCCTCGCGACGGCCCTCTACCCCCTTCCGCAGCAGGGGCCCCTTCCTGGGCCGCTGACGCGCCGCAGTTCCGTACTCTGGGGTCTGCAGAGCCGGCCCCGCCTCTTGGGCGCGGGGAGGGGCTTACTACAAGGGGACGGCCAAGGCTGGGGGCGGGACACCGTTGTGGGCGGGGCTCCAGGTCGTCCCTGGGAGGGGCTGCGCTTCGCCGACACCCGGCACCACGCGCAGGAGGGGCGGGGGCGGCGCCGCGGCTCCAGTTACCTCCCTGCGGCCTCCCCCGCCCCGCCGGCTTCTTTTTCCGTTTCCAAATTAACAATTGAAAACGCGGCGGCCTGAAAGGCGAGCAGCGGGCCAAGCGGAAAGTGTGAAGGTGCCGCCGCGTCCCCGAGGACGGGGGCGGAGACGGGGGCGCAACACCCTTACGGACCGGGGCTAGCCCACCCAATGCCCGGTGCGGGCTCTGAGCGCCCCAGGGCACAAAGGTACCAAGGCCTCGAAGTTGGGTCCTGGCCTGATCCAGCCCCTCGTACTGTCCTGGCCCAGCGTCGCAGGACCCAGCGCCCAGGCTCCGGGTGGTGCCAGCCCTCGAGGGCGCTGGCGGAGGGGGGGGGGGGGCACCAGGGCTGGGTTACTACTCTCGAGGCTGAATGCCCAGGAGGGCAGGTGCCAGGCAGCACCCTCACAGCACCGTCCTTAAGGGCTCCAAGAGTCAGCTAGGTTTGCGTGTGACCTCAAGCAAGTCATTTCACCTTGCTGAGACTCCGTTTCTTCCTCTGAAGAATGGGGAGGGAAGATACAGTGCTGGTGGTGAGGAGCAGATGAACTGAGAAGATGCCTGAGGCTGGCCCACAGTGAACAACGACAGGGAGCAGCCATTATTGGGTTGATAATTATGACGATATTGAGTCTCTGGCATCCTGTCCACCAGTGGGGAATACTGGAATTGACTGGTCTTTTCCTCCCCTCATTTCCTCAGGGCCTCCCCAAAGCCACACTTAACAGGTAAAGAAACTGAGGCCAGGAAGGTCCTTGTAAGGGGCTCCAAGTGATTTGTGAGTGAAAAGAATCAGGGCCTGAGCCCAGAACCTGACCCCGGGGCCTGGACTCATGGAGCTGAACAGTCTCTGGGGTCAGGGCCCTGGGCATCAGACCTCTCTTGTCAGTATCGTGAGACATGGTGCTGATACGACAGCAGCTGGGACAAATGAGTGGGCAATGGAGAGAGCCCTCTCTCCCGGGCATGGACCACATGAGCCAGACGGTAGACACCCTGGAAAGCTACAGTTTCTGGTCCCCAGGTCCCCGATAACCTAAGTTCCATGAATGCAGCGACTTTATCCTGCTCCCTACTCTCTCTCCCACACCTAGAACAGGGCCTGGTGCATTGTGGGTCATTAATATCTGCTGAGTGAGTAAGTGAAGGAATGAATGCACACGTCCCTTCTTATACAGCTGTGCCCTCCCAGTCGCCCCTGGTATGAAGTGGTCTTCCTTAGGGAGGTGGGTTTGGGGTTTAGTGCTTCTCTCTCCAGTATGGAGACACGGGGCCATAGAAGGGGAGAGATGGAGGCAGAAGGAAGAGAAGATAGAAGAAGAGATCCCAGAAGGCAGAAAGGAGGTCAACTCTTTCTTCATAGCCTCCCACTTCCCACTCCTGTCCAGCCAGGGACTATCCCCATTCTTCCTCCCTCCAGCTACCTCTTTACTGACTGCTACCATGATTCCAGCTCCATCCCCACCCCTAGTCCATTGTCAGTCTGAGGGCTCCTCCGCCATTTAAAATCCTACAATGGCTCCTTACCATTTACCATCTAAAAATCCAAGCTCCTCAGCCCAGAGCTTGAGGCTGGAAACACACAAGTATCAGACACACTCCACCCCTGTATTTTCTACCTTGGTGACTTTTGTGTTCTCTCCTCTCCTGGGGATGGTCGCCCTTCCTCCCCAAGGATCCCTGATCTGCTTCAGGGAGAAGTGCTTCCCCAGTCCCTTAGGATTCCTGGCCCTCTCTAGGTACCCTAGGACTCCCTTGTGCTGAGGCTGTTCTTGCCTCTGTCCACCACCCCCTCCCACTCCTCCCCCACCACCTCATTAGAATCCATCCACCATGGGCAAGGCTAGTTGTGACTCCCCCACATCCCGCAAGCTGGCTGAGTAGATGCTCTGACAGTATTTGGCAGGAAATAAGAAGACCCAAGTCACCAGGACCTTGAGCATCAGTGACTCAGGGCTTCCCACTGCCCTGTGAAGCCTGAGGACTCTGGGTAAGGGCATTTGGGGATGGCTGCAGATGGGGGTAGGTGAAGGAGGGCCAAGACAAGCCGATCCTGAACACTGGCAAGGTTGGAGAAGAAGTCCAAATGGGGACCCACAGTCTAAATATTTAAAAGTTTAAATCAAGCTAAGCAGCTGTTAGATAAACTATGTTTTACCCTTCCTGACACATATACCTTCATAACGGCCTGGAAAGCCAGGTTTGAATTTAAAATCTTGGACTCTTTGGCGTTCCATACTGGAACCTGGCAGGGAGGGGGTGCTACCCCACGGTGTGCCCTCTTCTCTTTCTCATCCCTCAACAGGGGTTCCGGGGCCCACTCCGGCGGCTGCCTCCTCCTGCTCTTCCAGGCTCCATCTACACTGGCTGCCAAGAGCTGCCGTCGTTCTTAGGAGAGCTCATGCCACTCTGGCCTTGGGATGATGAACCAGGAAGGAGGCCTGGATACACCCTGGAAGGAGACACCGGGATCTAGGGGTCGGGAGACTTCAGGGTTACCTGGAATGTGTTCTCGAATAAGCAGGGCCATGTAGGGGCTCCGCGTTGGTGGTATGCAGAGCCAAACAGGCTGAGCAGGCAGGATTCTGGGCCCCTACCTTCGAATCCGCCCAGGGCGGCGATGCTTGGGATATGTTTTATATATATCGTGCTCCCATGTCACATTTCATCTAAGGAACCAGAGCTACTGCTTAAAACACTTTGCCAAGCACTAATCTAGCCCCTTCCCTCCTACTGATCACAGAGGCTGAGGCTATGGGGCGTCATGGGGCCACAGTCATATAGCAGTTTAGAGTAAAGCCTGCTGCCCGGGCCTTGGCCTCCTTGAGCACATTTATGATCTATGAGACCCACAATACAAGCCAGTGGGAGGCGATGAGTGCCCAGCCCCTGGTGGGGTGCAAGCAGCCTGCTGCTGTAGCCTCCTCCCTTGGTAGGGGTCTACACTCTCAACTAAGGTTGCCTAGCTCAGGAGTAGATTGAGGCCAGACCAGGCCTGAGAAGGAGAGGGAGTCCTGGTATAAATAACCGTGGGGGGCCGGGATGTTTGGGCCTGTCTCCTGGGCTACGGCTGTGTTTACTGCCTGAGGCAGGGGGGGTGGGGGGGCACAGCCCACACATTTGCCTCCCTGACTTATAGCCAAATTTCTCCAGGAAGGGGTGGCCCAGGGTTAGCCCCAAACACTCCAGCTCTGCACCCCCATCAGGTCCTCCTGCTAACTCTGTCTGACATGGTTCCTAAACCCCTCAACGTTACCCCCACTGCTCAGCCCTGAATGCTGCACAACGTGGCATCTCCACGAGCCCCAAATGCCCCAGCCTGTGCCCTCACCCCGTTAATTCTCAACCCTGCTCATATTGTGGGAGGGTGAGGGGCAGGAGGATGGCAGAGAAAGGCCCCACGCAGAGGAGCTGGGACCACTGGGCAAGGGGGCAGAGACAGACCTCTCCCACGGCCCTGGCCAAGACAGAGGAGGGCTGCAACCCCGGGATTAGGAGAGCGCAAATCCCTCTCCCCAGTCCAGTGCCCATCCCATGCCTGTCATGTGCAGGGCATTAGATGGCCAGACCTCAGGGTGGGAAGGGCGGCAGGTGCCCTGTTGGGGACACTGCGGCCAGCTCCTCTCCCTAGGCAGCCAGGCCAAGAGAAAAAACCCTCAGTGCAGGAGGGCAGGTGGGTCCCGTTCCCCATGGGACAGCAGCTTCACTCTGCTCAAGCATGAAGGCACAGGGTTGATATGAGCTGAGTGAGTTCCAGCCTTCAGCCTACCACACACACACACACACACACACACACACACACACACACACACACCAACTGACTGATGGGTCTTGCTTGGGACACTAAACTCACATGCACTGAGAGCAGAGGCTCAAAACCGGGGCCGTGTCCACCAGGGGTCTTAGGTGCCTGGACTCCTGGGTTCTAGCCCCATATCAGCTACTTCCCAGCTGAGTGACCTTGCACAAGTCACTTCTCCCTTCTGAGCCTCAGTGTAAAATAGTGTAACAATATCTCCCCCAGGGCTGTTGGAAGAACTCAGTGAGATCCACCGAGCAAGCATGAATTAAGCCCCACAACGGACCAGGCATGGCCTTAAGTGCTTTGTGGACCATCCAGTGGTGAAGAGGTGTGCTTCCCAGGACAAGGTAGCCTTTTCATTTTTGTTTCATTTTGTTTTAAAGTTTATTTGTTTGTTTCGAGAGAGAAAGAGAGCGTGCATGAGCAGGGAAATGGCAGAGAGGGAAGGAGAGAGAGAATCCCAAGCAGGCTCCTCGCTGACAGTGTGGAGCCCGACGCGGGGCTCAATCCCACAAACCCTGAGCTCGTGACCTGAGCTGACACCAAGAGGCAGACGCTTAATGGACTGAGCCACCCAGGCACCCCAAAGTGGCATTTTGGACCCAGAGGCTGAGGCTCAGGAATGGCTCAGGAATGTGAGGAGGCCTGCCCGAGACCACCCAGAAGGGACCGGGGCCCAGGTCAGCTCTGCAGAAAGGTTTTCACTGTTATTTATCGGTACTGGAGACAACTGAGACTTTTGAGCTAAGCCGGGCTACAATCTGGGCTCTGTCCCCAACCTAAGTTCAGTCCCTGCCCTGTCCTGGGCCTCAGTTTCCCCATCAGTAGAATGAGGGGATGGGGCAAGACCAGAGATTTCCACACTTTATTGAGCTGCCAGAAAGGGAGGGGACAAGGAGGTTGGGCAGGCAGAGCCACCCACGCCCTGCCCCTTTCTCCAGGACGCTGCACTACTAGCGGGGCCAAACCCTGGGGGCTCTCACAAGCCTGTTCTAAGGCCACCGTTCTTGGGACCCCCACAGACCCTAAGCCCGTATCCTCAGACATTCATGCAGACAGCTTCCGCGCCCGCACCCATCCCCTCTGCTTCCAAAGGCCCCCTGAGCTCAGGCACATGCACCTTCCCCCTGGCCAGGCTTTGCATAAGCAGCTGAACTTTCCCTACAGGCAAAGTCCTAGGGCTTCAGGCCAGGTCTGATCAGGCCTTGGCAGAGTTAGTGGGCAACTCCAGAGAAGCCACTCAGGGGGGATGGGCCATGAGGGGAAGGCAGAGGTAAAAACAGGCCAAGTGGATGGCATCCCCACGGCTCCCGGCCAGAACTTTCCCCCTTACCATCCTCCTTGGAGATCCACAGAGGTGTTTCTAAAATGCCAATCTGTCCAGGGCATTCCCATCTTCACTTCCTTCCTGAACTCAGTCTCCCCCAGGAAGTCACTGCTCCTCAGCCTGGCACCCTCACCCCGTGTCCCAGCCTCTTCTCTGCACACCTCCTGCCCCCCCAGGCTCCCACTCTCCTGACCTCTTGGAAGTCCTTGCAAATACCACATTCAACCGCAGCTCTGGGCTTTGCCTATGCTAGTCCCTTTGCTCCGAATGCTGTTCCATGCTCCTTTCTGCCTGGTTAACTGCTACTCCTACTCATGTTGCAGGGCTCAACTTAAACCTCTTCCTCTGGGAAGCCTTCCTAGCCACGCCCTCTGTGCTGGGCTCCTACAGGACTCTGCACTGGCCCGACAACCGTCAGCTCCTGGCGCAGCTCCCTAGGGACCAAGGGAGGATCTGATTCACTACTCTGTCCCCAGCATCTGAGACAGTGACTGGCCCCAAGGGATGCCAGTGAAGGCTTCCCAAATGAGAGAGCAACTTCCCAGTGCAGACTGGGGTGGAGGACAAGACCATGAAATTTAAGGCTCAGGTGGTTCTCATTGGCTGCAGGACCACAAGGGCCAGGTAGGCATAATATGGTGGGTAAAGGGGCGCCTGCGTGGCTCAACCGACTCCAGCTCAGGTCATGATCTCACGGTTTATGAGTTCAAGGCCCGCGTCGGGCTCTGTGCTGACAGCTCAGAGCCTGGAGCCTGCTTTGGATTCTGTGTCTCCCTCTCTCTCTGCTCCTCCCCTGCTCATGCTCTCTCTCTCCCCAAAAATAAGCGAACATTAAAAATTTTTTTCTTTTAAATATGGTGGGTAAGGACACAGCCCCTAGAACTGGACTTCTGGGGGTTGGATGCCGGCCCTTCAACCTACACCCAGGCAAGTTTCTCAACCTCTCTGTGCCTCAGCATCCTTATCTGGAAAATGGGCATAACAGTTGTACCCACCTCATCAGGTGGTTGAGAGGAAAAAGTGAGAACAGCTACGGTGGTGAGTTCTCAGAGCAGTGTCTGGTGCAAGGTCGGCACTCATTAAGCCTTTGCTGCTATTATCTCTCTTATTATTGAGAGCCACAGCAGGAGAGGGAGGCTGAGGCTCAGAGAGGAGGGTGACCTCGGGAGGCCAGCCCAGCGGGCAGGAAGGTGGCCTTCCCATCCCAACCCACATCCACATGTATGCTGTGAGTGCTCCCCGCCCCCTCACACACACTGACCCTGGCCCTGAAGGCGCACTCACCCCAGAGTCCTTGCACGCTCAGGCTTAAACTCCCACCCTCCTGGGCACGCAGCACTTACTGGCTGTGTGACAAAGGCACACGCTTAACCTTTACCCTTCGGTGTCCTCTTCTGTGCAATGGGGTAATGACAGTCCCTACCCCTTAGGGCTCTTGGAAGGATTAAATGAAGTAAGTTTGGAAAACATCTGGAACAATACGTGAGCTTTTTTCTTCTCTTTTCTTTTTTAAAGTTCACTTTTATTTATTTTGAGAGAGAGAGCGAGCGTGAGCTAGCAGGGGAGGGGCAGAGAGAGAGGGAGAGAGACAGAATCCCAAGTAGGCTCTGCGCTGTCAACACCAAGCCTGATGCGGGGCTCGAACTCATAAACTGTGAGATCATAACCGGAGCGGAAATCAAGAGTCGGACACTCAACCGCCTGAGCCACCCAGGTGCCCCACAGTGTGTTATTATCTATGACAAACTTGGTTAGGACTCGGGGCCAGCCCCTGGTAAGTGTGTGAGGGCAGAGTGTGGCTGGGCCCCCTGCCCGGGGCTCCTGAGAAAAGGAATTGCCCTCTGGTCGGTGTGCTCTTACCTGGCCCCGTGACCTCCCCTTCCCTTGTGGTGACCTTCCTCAAACCAGAACAGGCGAGAGTGTGGGGAGCGGCCCAGGACTGGAGAAAAGAGGGAGGCTGTGCCCTGAGGTACGAATATGAAAAAGCACCACAAACCCTCCATTTGGCCCAGCATTTATACCCTCTGAGACACTGCGGCAGGAGCCAGCCCTGTGAGACCGCCAGGGGGAGAGGGTAACGCTCATTCCACATGGGAGGAAGCTGGTGCCTCAGAGAGACTGAGTCACCCACCTGGGGTCACACAGCCTTTTAGGAAGCAGCAGCAGGAGCCGAAGAGCCAGCTACTGACTCTTGCCCCAAGACTCCTTTATTTCTCTTAAATTAAAAAAATATATATTTATTTATTTGGAGAGAGTGTGTGTGAGCACGAGCAGGGGGAGAGGCAGCGAGAGGGGGAGAGAGAGAATTCTGAGCAGGCTCTGTGCTGTCAGCGCAGAGTCTGACTCAGCAGAGTCTGACTCGGGGCTCGATCTCACAACCCTGAGATCAGGACCTCTGCTGAAATCAAGAGGCAGAGGCTTAACCTACTGAGCCACCCAGGTGCCCCTCCCCAGTGCTCCCTTAACTGACAGGTGAACCCTGACTGTGGCTGACCCTGTCCCCACTCATGCCCCGCCCGGTCCTGGCTAGAGCCTGGGCTGGTCCTCGTTACACTCCGGGTACGCAGGGCCTGAGGCCCCGGGGGAGTGGGTGGTGGAGACTGACCACTCTTCCATCCCCCTAATCCTTCCATCCCCACCCAGATTCTTCTGGCCCTTGGGCTCAGGAGGGAGGAGGCAGGACTCAAGGATTTCACGCACCGGTAAAATTCCCAAAAAACACTTGGGGGCTGGCTGTCAACTTTCTATTTTGCCAAGTAAGGACATTTGGAAAAAAATTCCCAGCCCCATCGTTTCATAAAAGAAAGGACATAATCTCAGACTAAAACGCCTTTAAGTGGCATAAATTTAGCTTTATGAAAAAGTCACCACATTGTCCTTATTTCCTTCAGTTTTGCCTTAGGCCACTGAGAACCGCATGGGTCTGCTGATGTGTCTGAGCGACATTCGGAGCCACGCAGACGTGGGTTCCAATCCTGGCTCCCCTGTGGACAGGCTGTGTGATCTGGTGCCTGTTATTTCTCCTCTCTGGGCCTCAGTTTCCTATCTGCAAAATGGGAACAATAGTGTTTGCAAAGCACTAGCTCCTGGGAAGAAATCAGGCTCCCGGCCTGTCCCGCCACTGCCTGCGGCTCTCCCTGCATCGCCCACAGGGCAACGTCTACCTCCTTAGCCTGATGATCCAGGCCCCACCCTCAGGGCCCTGGACACAACAGACTCCGCAGACCCTGGGGCAGAAAGGGTAGAGGAAGAGAGTTCTACCCCAGAGCCTCTGTTTTCACTGTTGCTGTTGCTGCGGGGAACGCACTTGGGATAAAACCCATGAGAGCTTCAGCTCAGTGCCCGCGCACGGAGGACCTGGGGTCCGCATTCCAACTTCTCTCTAGTTGGCCAAACCCTTCTGTCCTCAATGGCACCTTCATGCCCTGGCTCAGCAACCATTTACAAATTACCAGTCACATACCAAGCCCTGTGCTCGACCCCCACCAGCCAGACCTCACAATCCAACCAACGCACCAGGCTGGAGGGGCAGCTGGGAAGGGCCCCCTGTTGAGCCTGGGGAGGGGGGTGCGGGGAGGGACTCCAAGAAGAGGGGGTCCTTGAGCTGAGAAGGGAATGAATAGAAGATGACGGAGGGGCGAGGGGAGGGAGTTTCAGGGCGAAGGAAAAGCACAGAGCGTGTCTGGGGACGCTACAAGTTGCTTCTTAGGGGGGTAACTAAGGATGCTTGAGGAAGGGGGTTCCCAACTTGGGCAGGGAGGGTACGGGAGTCACTCTCGGGGAGGCTGGGGAAGGGGAGGCTGGAGGCAGAGGCTGAGCTCGAGGTGCCCACCGCAAGAGGAGGCAAGGCTCCCATCTACCCGAATCTCAGGGCTGGAACTGCTCAGGGGCAGGCTGTCATCACAGAGGTGACTCCCAGGGACACAGGAGGCCATGAGCCCCCCTCCCCCCCTCCACAAAATCTCTGTACAGTGAGGACACAGGACAGAGCCCTGAGGAACCCCAGCATTTTACAGGAAGAAAGAGAGGGAAGAGCCGCAGAGGCCGACTGAGCAGAGTCAAGGGAAGGGTGGGCTCTGGAAAGGAAGGCCCAACAGGCTTAGGCCGTCAGGGGCGATATGGCAGGGTCCCAGGGAGCCACGTCCTGGGTTTGAATCCTACCTCTACTACTTACTAGCCACATCGCCTTTTAGGCCTTCATTCCCCGATCTGTAAAATAGGGCTAATTTATTTTTACAGAAAGGAGGCTGAAGGGCAGGGGGGAGAGGGCCCACACGCTCGGGCGGCCTTCACTGCATCCCCAGGCCTCCCTCCCTCTGCCGGCCCCCCGCCACACTTTCCTCCCTCCTCTGTCTCTCCCACCAGAGTGCCAGCAATCCCCAGGAGTCGGAAAATTAGATGAGTGAGTGAAATCGGGGGTGGAATGCAGAGGGAGGCATTCCCAGTCCCGGAAGACTCCAGCACAACCTCCATCTACTGAGGAGGGCCGTATGTGCTGTGTCCTTGGGCACTCGGGTCTTTTCTCCTGGCCTCAGTTTCCCCATGTGTGAAAAGAAGCCGTGGCTCTGCTCGATCTCCGGGGCCCTTCTGGCTCTGATGCTTAGCCGCAGGACGGAATGAGAAAGGGTAAGGGGAGAAAGGCCTACTTGTGCCCCAGCAGAGGAGATCCCATGGGGGTCTGTGTCCCCATTGTGCCCAGGGACTGGTCTCTCGGGCAGAGGGTGGCAGCCGGGCCAAGGAGGGCAGGAGCGGAGGCGCCAGGGATTGTGCTGACAAAGCTATTTCTTCTCCTCTCCTTTGCTCCCTGCCCCCTCCCCTCCCAGGGGACAGCCGAGCCCGGCAAAAAATAAACCCAAAGACGGTGACCTGGACGGGCCTGAGGCTGCCAGGGAGGAGCGGCAGGGAAGGAAGGGTGGCAGAGAGGCAGCTTGTGACCACCCCCCACCAAAGCCAAAAGATACCGGATAGGACCCCTCTCCCCCAGCCCCCCGAGATGGGCTCAAGGGAGCAGTCTCTATTTTCCATCCTCACACTGCTAGGGAGGGGTGCCGCTTGCCTGATGAGGATCATTAGCAAGAGCAAATCTTGTCCAGTCCAGCTAGACATGGGTCCCCAAGTTTTATTTATTTATTTATAAATAAATAAATGTTTTATTTCTTTCTGAGAGAGAGAGAGAGAGAGAGAGAGAGAGAGAGAGCGTGAGCAGGGGAGAATCCGAGAGAGAGGGAGACACAGAATCAGAAACAGTCTCCAGGCTCTGAGCTGTCAGCACAGAGCCCGATGCGGGACTCGAACCCACGAACCGTGAAATCATGACCTGAGCCGAAGTCGGATGCTTAACCGACTGAGCCACCCAGGCGCCTGAAGGGTCCCCAAGTTTTAGAAAGAGCACCCCAGGGGATTTCACACTACCCCCAGGTTACCAGGCAGTCCTTCTTGCTGTCTGGCCTCAATCCTGTATGTTCCAGTGGGAACCGTGCTCCGTTTATCTCCAGCAAGCTTTCCCCCTCCCCCACCTGCCTGGCCTAGAGTTCTGAGGAATCAGGAGAAAGTGCCCCCCCAGATTTCCCTGCAGGGATGGGGAGGGCCCTTAGGCCAGAGACCCCACGCCACCTACTATTCCCCAAATCTCCAAGAAGTAAGGAAGAGGGAAGGAATCGCTGAGCTCCCGGCTGTCTTCGCCTCCCTCGCTCCGGCTCTGCCCACGGATTCCCAGCCCAATTAGTCTGCTGCCTGGGGCTGCCCCTCCCATTCCCTCCTCACCCCCCACCAGGTGCCAACCCCCAGGGCACAAAGATCCTGCCCTAGGGAGAGAGTTGCCCAGAAAGCCTGGAGTCCTAGGGGCACTTCAGGGAGCCCCAGAGGTCTGACCAGCACCCTCTCCCTAGCCCCTTAGAGCCCCAGCTGGGGGCAGGCAGCCTCCTGGGTGCCCTTCTAAGTGCTCCCAGTCCTCCAAGGGGCCCAGGGAGAAGGTGCTGGAGACTGCCCCCGTCTTCGCCTGGCAAAACCCAAGGTCTGTACAGTGGCTCTTCCCGGTCTTCCAGAATCACTCTGTGCCTGGTAGCCCGGAATGGTCCACTCTCCAGATTAGCCCCATTTTACAGAAGGAGAGAGTGAGGCTCGGGGATTGGGGGTGTGTGGGGATGGGTACCTTCCCAGCAGGTGTTGAGATGTCTGAATCTCCTTGGGGATTCCCTGTCCCCATTCCCCAGGGTGATATGCTCAGGATAGAGCGGGATATTGCCCTCCTCTCCCAGGGGTTCCCCGCTGTCCCCCTGAGCACCGTGGCTCTATTTCCATCTCCCCAGGGCCAGGCTCACTGCAGGGTTTGATAATGAGGCCCACACCTCGGTGGACCTGGCCATACAGTGACCCTGACGCATAGACCCTCCTTCCCCCCGCACCACACAGACATGCTCACACCTACCCCCAGACCTCTCCGCCAGTCCCTGGAAGAG